TGTGGCCATTTCCTTGGGTCCTGTTTGTTGCCTGGGAGAAGAGGCCAAACCCCTCCTCATCACAGCCTCCCTTCGGGAAGTTGTGCAGTGCAATAAGGTCTCCCCTGAGCCTCCTCTTCTCCAGACTAAGTAATCCCAGCTCCCTCAGCCGCTCCTCCTAAGACTTGTGCTCCAGACCCCTCAACAGTTTTGTTGCCCTTCTCTGGACACCTTCCAGGGCCTCGATGTCCTTTTTGTAGTGAGGAGCTCAAAACTGAACACAGTACTTAAGGTGCAGCCTCACCAGTGCTGAGTACAGGGGGATGATTACCTCCCTGCTCCTGCTGGCCACACTATTTCTAATGCAAGCCAGGATGCCGTTGGCCCTCTTGGCCACCTGGGCACACTGTCAGCTCATGTTCAGCTGAGCATCAACCAACACCCCCAGGTCCCTTTCCTCTTCAGACTGCCTTTATGACCCCATGACAATTAGTCGCATCTTCCCAAGAGGCTCAAGTTGAATATTAGGAAAAATATCTTCTCCAAAAAGTGGTCAGAAGTGGCACAGCTGTCCGGGGAAGGGGGGGAGGGATCACCATCCCTGGAGGTATTCCAGAACCGTGGGGATGTGGCACTGAGGGTGGTTATGGGCATGGTGGGATGGACTGGGGTTGGACTTGGGATCTTAGAGGTCTTTTCCAACCTTAGGGATCCTATGATTTCATGATTCAGCGCCTTCTACAGATATAACAGTAACTCTTCAAAGGTTCTTGAAACCCAGCAGCACGTATCCAGAGGAACCACATTTTCACAGGTAGAGGAACCAGAGCAGAGATGTTCCAGGACTTCTCAGACACGTAACATGACGAAGGCCAGCACTCACATGATGACCACCTCTTAGATCCAAGCCCACTTCCTTCCCACAAGCCAGCCAGGCCTTGGGTGGATGCACAGTCCAAAAGTAGACATGATGGTGACGGGCTGACAGTTGGACATGGTCATCCTAGAGGTCTTTTCCAAACTTTAATGATTCTATGACTCTACTGACAGAGAATCCTAGGATTACACTTTGCTCATTGCCTAATTTTACCCTTTGGGATAGCAGGACACTTCTCTTTCCATGAAACATTAACAAAGATCTGGCTATCTGCAGATTTTGACCACGGTTATCTGTCAGAGAATAAATAACCCAGTTAAGAAGGATTTAAAAACCTGACTCAATAAAAGGAATCAGAGTACACGGAGCTACCACACGCCATGCCCTAAACACTGCATCTTTGCTTCACTGCATTCCTACAGCAAAAGACAGACCTGGGAGGAGGAAATAAACCTTTTTTTCTTCTGACCCACCACCATAATGTTTCCTTCCCATCACCCTGGAGGTGAAGTCCCAGGGGCACTTTGGCAGAAGGGAACGAAGAATGGCGTTTTGATACCACCCTGGTGAAACTACCGTTTTTCATTTTTGGCTACAGAGAGAAGAAAGTTTTTAGTACCTGGTGGTTGTTGAAAAAAAAAAAAAAAAGAAAGAAAGAAAGAAACCAAAGCTGAATTAATGAAAAGGGAAGGGGAATAGCTGTGCACATGCCATGAAGGGACTCACGAGAGCATTAACAGCTGGAAGCTCTCCTGGCAGCCATGGAAGAGGCACCTATTTTGCAAGCACAGGGAAGATGATGCAGCCAAAGTTTAGCACTGGATGCAATTTTGTTGCGGCTGGGTTCTCCCCGGGGCAGATCTTGGATGTGTCAAACCTTTTACCCTTGTTTAGAGCAAAGAGGGGACACCAGTGGCTGTTCCCCACTGTGATCCAAGAGAGCCAAGGCTTCCAGCTGCCCAGGCAAGACTCTCAGGGAGCACAGTTACCATTCAGCATGGGAAGGTGAGGAGAGGACCTTCGGCACAGTGCAGAGCATCCTCCTCAGAGCCAGCACGGCCAGAGCTGAGGTCCCTGATCAGAGCAGAAGGGAGGCAGGGTTAAGCCTCTACCAAATACACACCCTTCACACCTTCCCCGGAGTGCTCACCTGGTCATCTGCTGGAAAAAGGGCTTCTCAGCTGGCTGTGTCTCCCTGGGCAAAACCACGAGTGCTGAAGCTTGTGTGTCACCGGACTGCGGCAAAGGGCAGGGCTGGGCTGCGGCATGGCTGGTCGCGGCAGGGGAGGGGAAATCAAACTGCTCGGGGTTAGTCACAGCCACGGGGAAAGGGGTGGAGAAGGCCAAGGGCTGGCTGTCATGCAGGGAAGGATTGCCTAGCGGGTCCCCTGGGGGGTTAGTGGGCTGGAAGCCTTGTTGAAGGGCTTCCCCATGGAGCTGGGGGGAGCTGAACCTTTCAGGCAGCACAGCCTGGACGGGAAGGGCGTCTGCTGGCTTTTCCACAAAGGGATTTGTGGGGGCAATAGGGCTGACTGCCAGAGCAAAGGGATTGCCTGGGCTTGCAGCATCCTGCTCGCTCCTCTCCTCCGTTCTATCTAGCTTCCAGAATTCCACCTTCTTGAAGTCTATCCCTGCAGGCGGCCAGCCCTGCTCTGCCTGATGGGGACAGCCCACCGCCGGCCCCTCACCCTGGTGCTGCTCTGGCGCTAACCTGTGCGGGCGGCCCAATGCCTCCTGCTCCTCCAACGCCGTCCAGAAGGTCTCGGGTTGGCCTGAGTCCGGCCTGAGGGACAGGTCTGGTGCTGACACACCAAGCTCCTCAGGGCATTCCTTCTGCTCTGGGGCTATTGATGGCTCTGCGCTGAGGCTGAGCTGTGACACAGGAGACAAAGCCAGCTGATTCCAGCTCCCTGCAGCACCCGATGGGGTGAGCTCATCCACGGAGAACCTGGAGGGGCAGGTCTCAAAGTGTTCAGCCACATCTGTCCCATTCATCTCCAGTGGCTCTTCTCCCAAAGAGGTGTCCCCTCCTGCCTCCACGTCAGCAGCATCCTCATGCACAGCTGTGTGAGGTGCTAGGACAGCTGTGTCACCACTCAGATGGCTCCGTGGTTGCTCCAGGCCCTCCTCACCCTCCTGCTGCTCCTCCCCACCTCGCTGCCTTGCCGTTGTGTCACTAGCATTGTTCTCATCCTCCCCTCTGCCACAAACGGCTGCAAACCACCGCGGAGGTTTGGGAGGTGGCATGACCTCCTCCTTCCCTCGCACACCCGTCCACATTGTGAGGACAGCATCAGAGCCCATCTTCACATGGCCCTCACCAGCCTCCAACCGCATGCTGGCCTGCAGCCGGTACACCGAGCTCCTGATGTCAAACATCTCCCTGCCATCATCCTGCAGCTCCTTCCCCATGTCCGGAGCCACGGGGAAGCACCCTGCTGCCATGTCTTGCAGCACTCGTGGGGGCACAGCAGCCACATTGCTGCCCAGTATTGTTTCTGCTGTGTTTTCAGAGCTGAAGGTGCTTTGGGGAAGGACACGAGGAGTACTTTTCGTTTCAAAGGTGCCCTCGCCATGGAAGGACCGCTGCCCAAACACGCTCCCCTGGCCAATGCTCTGTGTGCTCTCAGAAGGATCGGGCGCAGTTTCGGTGGCAATAGTCATCCAGCCATTCTCCCCTACGCTCGAGGTTTCTTCCTCATTACTGTCCCGTTCCTCCCCAGCACAATTATCAGAACTTAGCAGGGTGGAAGCCTCCTTTTCCCCCGGATTTCCAGATGACAATGAGGCAGCCCAAACCATCGGAGTGCTGCTCTTCCTTCTCCTCGCTGCCGACCCTGCAGACACAGGGCTCAGCACATCCTCTATCACTGTCGCTTCCTGGGTTGTGCTCACCAGGTTTGCCCCCACATCCAAACCAGAGAAATTTGTCCAAGACCGCAGCGCTGGGGGCATTTCACTGCTGATCTGTGGCTCGGCCTTTTCAAAGCCCTGTGTCCCCTCCTCAGGATCTGGCTCAGCTGACCGTTCTGTGGGGCTGGCGGCATTGGGATCGTCGATGAAAGCCATGCCCTCCGCCGCCACCGAAGTAAAAAAGTCCTCCTTCTTTGAGTCTGGTCTGAGCCTGCTGGTGGCAAAGGCATCGAAGGTCTCATCCCACTCTGAGAGGGGAGGAGGAGAGGCGGTGGGTTCCTCATCTGGAGGAGGAGGGTCTGCATGGGACGGAGGAGTGGTTTCAGGCACGGGGACACCAACGCTTTTGGCTGGAGGTTCTCCCTCTGGATCTTTAAGTCTTAGGGAGGCAGAGGGACTGCAATCCTCAGAGGAACACAAGCTCCCAGCGACCTCTGTTGAAGCATGCGGCTCAGACGGGAAACTAGAGAAAAAGTGAGTAGGTGAAGGAGAATTTAGTACCTGGTCAGCGAGGAGGTCCTCAAAGAAGGGATTGCTCTGCAGGGAGTTGAGGAATGGGTTGGTAGGGGACAAGCATCCAGGCTGACTGTCTCCGGTAGCAGGAGGGAGGTTAGGGCTCAGCATGCGAGCAAGATGGGCTACAGCAGCAGCAGGGAACCGGGCAGGGGAGCGGGGAGGAAAATGAGAAGGAGCATCTGAGCTGGTTTCTACCTGAGGAGACACTTCCAGGCTGTGGAGGGAAGACAAAACAGTCCTCCTGGTTAATGCTGTGACAGTGCTGTAAGCATACACCACACACACCACAAATGCTTTGATTCAAAGCAATGCAATGATCCAATACATACTTGTCTCTCTTGTTAGGCAGAGCAATGATTATGGAGTCAATGCATGGAAAGGGCATGCACTACAAAAAGGAAAGGGCAGCCCTTCTCCAACCGTCCTCCAGATTTCCCCTTTCTGCCTTAGCAAGCCCTAAGCCCCAGGAGTCCAAGAGGTTTCTCTACCTCCTGCAGCCCAAAGACTTGGTTCAGTTCTATGAGTTTCCCTGCTCATGAGGAGCAGCTGGGGTAAGAACACCCAAGAGTGAGCCTTCCCCAGCCCACCCCAGTGTCACACCATGTGCTGGGCTCATCAGCACGGCAGCGGCCATCCAAATCCCTCGTGTGACCCAAGGAGGGGCACATCTCCACTCTGGATATCAGCCCCCTCCTGCAGATGTCTCCTCACCTTGCCCCAGGCTGAGCAGCCAGTCCTTCACTGCTTTTCCAAGAGGACCACATTTACCTGTCCTTCCTTTGGGACCTCCTCTGCCAATGCCCATTGCCAGGCCAGGGTTGGCCATCTTACCACAGAATAACCAGGTTGGAAGGGAACCACAAGGACCACCAACCCACGCAGCACCACCCAAGCCCTATGGCTGAGAGCAGAATCCCAATGCTCCCTGAGCTCCAGCCATGCCCACCACCGTCTGGGTCAGACCCTTTCCCTAACACCCAGCTCCAGCAGCAGCATTCCCTCCCCCCCCTGAACCTCCTCCCCATGACTTACCCCTGCCAGCTTTGCATCATGCTTCATTTCGTGGTGGGGCTTCAGAGAGACCCCACTTTAGCTTGGAGAAATGCAGACACCGATATGCCCAGTGCTGGCTGATCAAAGCTGAACTCAGAACAAATAAAGCAATTGCTTTGCCAACACGAACAGGGCATGAGCAGCCCTCAGGCTCCTGCCTGCTTGACCCAAGTTGGAAGGAATCATCACAGGCAGCACCAGAAGATCATAGCCAATGGCAAAGCTGCACGGACTATTTTTGCTTGTTATTACAGATGGTTTTGTCACAAAAAGATTTTAGAAGTATTTTAAAGCACAAAAATGCCACCTTGAGGCAAACATTAACAATCACCATCATCCACCTACAGTTGTGTCAGTTTTGTGCTCAGAGACCATTTGAAGGACGTTTGTCTGTTGGTATGCAACAAACCAACTCCAGCTTACACCCTTTCCATCTTTCCTATGACACTCACAGTGATTTTGGGAGCCGCTGCCCCAGCTTAGGAATTTGTTACGTAGACCCTAAGCCACAAAGAAGACCTTGAGGTGATGCTGGGCAGCACACAATCCTGACCTACTCCTGTTTGCTCCTTGCTCCTGCTCACATTAATGGTTTAGTCCAGATTAAGAACCCTCATCCATCATTCTGCTTAAGCAGCGTTTAGAAAGAGCAACCCATGGCTGGTCCAAGCAGCTCTGTTGGCTTCCAGCATTAAGTCGCTACAGAGCATTAATCAGCTTGAGGCTCCTAATGAGTGCTCACCGCTAACAACCTTGACAGCTGCCAGAAGTCTGGCTGCAGAAATTCCTACCCTAGCCCACCAGATCACCACCTGCACAGGTGGAAGAAGAGCTTCACAGTCTCTCCAAGCCCACACTGGGCCCACTGGTACATGGGGACGTCCCATTTGGCAGCCTCCAGCTGTCCCCCAGCCTACACACGGATGCCAGCAGCCAGCAAAGCAGGCTGTGCTGTGCCTGGGGGAACAAGAAGTGTGAGCATCCACCCCTAGCTGGAGGAAGCAAAGCAGAAGGGACGCAGCCTCTGGATGTGATGCAGGAGAACCGCAGCACCTCCACGCTGGCAGTGACAGCATCCTGAAGATGCCAGGCTGAAGGCACAAAAGCAGAGCTCATGTCCCTCTTTATTTTAATCACCTGGCTTGGCTCTCCAAGCACCAACCGTACTGTCACCACCCAACCTTTGTTCTCGGGGTGAGCATCCCCCCCGTTTAGCACCCCTGCCCTCCCCCCAGTAGACCCACCCCCCTCAAATCCCACTGCTTCATTCCACCAGGGATGCTGGAAATGCTCAGCGAAGGGGCTGAGGACGTTGTGCTCCTCTAGAGGGAAACCTCCGCTTGGATGGAAGATCTCTGCTGCAATGAAATGCTGACTCACCCTCCTCCTCCTCCTCCCAGATCCCTGCACGCAGCTCCGCCAGCCAAAATAAATAGCGGGTACCTTCCTGCCCTCATTTATTTTGCTGGCAGCACTTCACAGGCGCATTTTAGCCTCCCAGCAGAACGACGACAAAAGAAAAAAAAAAAAAAAAAAAAAGAAAATATTACTGAGCAACTGCCTGATGGAAAGTCGCCTGGAAACAGCCCATTTGATGTGGGAGGATCGAATCCGTAACACACCGAGGTGAAGAGCTGGGGCTGATGGAAAATCCCACCCCTGCATCCTAGGAGAGGTGGATGGGAGGACATCAGGCCAGGATTTCCATGGATAATTTGGGCATTCTACGTATGGACCTACCTGGGGGACTCCAGCACGGCAGGATTTGTGCAGAAAGCGGCTAGGAAGAGATCAGCATGCAACCTAGGACATGTTTGTATGAGGTGGGAGCCAGGAAGGGCCTGGGAGTGATGTGCAAATGGAGCTTCTCAATAGGAAATGCACAGGTCGAGTTCACTTATCCTAGCAGAAACCTCATTGTTTTCCATCTGTCCTCACCTCTGTCACGCCTGCAGCTGTCCCTCATCCTGAACAAGATGGGGACAGGCCCTTCTTTATATGGATTTGCCTCCCTAACCATAGAAATAACAATAACAAAAAGAAGGCAGGTTGGATGGGACCAAGCCCTGGGCAGCCTGGTCTAGTATTAAATGTGGAGGTTGGTGGCCCTGCCTGTGGTAGTGGTGGCCCTGCCTGAAGGGTTGGAGCTTGATGATCCTTGAGGTCCCTTCCAACCATTCTGTGACTCTGTGTGTGAAGCAGAGGTAGGATGTGGATAGCAGATGCAGAGAGCAGGCACAGGTGCTATAAGAGCCATTCTTCACCCTTCCAAGGGCAACCCTACTGGCTTCCAAAATGGATTTTAGTTTTCAGCCTCACTGCTGGCAACACAGGACCAGCAACATCCATAGCGGGCAACAGTTTTATGCTTTCCTCCCCTGAAAGCAATGACAGAAGGAAAAGGCTTTAGCCTAGGAAGGGCTTTGACCTGCAAACAGGCTCTTTTTTGCCTCCTGCCAAGCATGAGATGCAGCCCCATTTTATCATCCCAATTCACGCCGCAGGAAGCAGGACCTGTGGAGCTCTGAGAACATTGTAGGAAAGCCTGAAAATATGGAAAGCGATTGTTTTCACCCCAGGCCTTGCCTCAAATAAGCCTGCTAAGCTTCTTCCTTGCATACAACCCTTGAGCACGCCACCTGAAGCACAGCAAACCCCGAAGAGCCTTTCATTCATGTCTTCAAGAGCAGACAGCATCCACCTCCCACTCCCACCACAAATTCAGAGCTGCTCTGCTCTACAAAGCAAAGGTTAATCCATCCTCAGACCCAGAAGTTATGCGGGTAAATGAGTAGCAGCCTTGCTTCTCCTCCAGATGATAAGCAGATAAGCGCTGCTGGCTTTTCAGCGGCACGCTTGGGAGGGAATATGCATTTGATTATTGAAATACAGATTTCAACCATCGAGATGTAATCAACCTCTCAACAGCTTTGAGCTGAATCGGTCTGTGAGGTCTCCCAGTGTAAGAAGGAAGGAGAATGAAGTAAAAGAAGTAGTTCTTTATGATCAGAATGAGAAATGACGTTGCAATCGCTGGTTTAAACAAGCTCAAGATCCTAAAAATCACAGAATCCCATAGAATTGAATGATCAAGAAAGAAAGTTCCAAGAAGAGGAAGTAAAGGGCACCCACCTCCCAGCCTGGGCCAAGAGCTGAGCCAACAGCTGCTGCAGTGCTGCCCAAAGGTGCTCATCCACTGCTACACCAAATCCCACAGTGCTGGTCTTTAATGCTCCCCATTTAGAGACTTCTCCTAATGTCTCATTTCAGTTTCCCTCTCTATACTTCCAGCTCATTACTCCCCATCTTAAAATTGCCAAGTGCAATTAAAGCCCATTCAGATGCTTAAAAAGATTCCAGAAGGATCACCTGGGAATCTCTCCCATCCAGAATATATAGTTTCAAAGGGAATCCTATCCTGAGGACCAAAACTCACAGCTGGTGGCTTATCCAAGCTTCTCCTTACAAGGCAGAAGAACTGTATGGAGAAGCCTGCAAAGAGGCATCCAAAAAGCAGAGCCTAAGCAAACCTTGGGTACTCTGATGACCTTGAAACCATGTGGGTGAAGACAGTGACTCTGTTGGCTCACATCTGAGCACTTTACAAGCAGCAGAGCTCACATACGGATCCCATTAGGTAGAAGAAGCCTGAAAGATCTCTTCATTAAAGAAGGCTTAGGCTGAATGAAAATCCTTCTGCTTAATAAATTAGGTTAAAGTCAGCCCAGATTAGGAAATCCCTATAATAAAAGAACCTTCTGGATCCAGGCAGACCGCTGGCTCTTACAGCCTTGTGTTCTCCCTCTCCCTGAACAATGAAAACCTTGCACTGCGCTCCCGGCGAGTGCCTGGATCCCAGCACAGCCCATTCCCACTGCACACCAAGGCATGTGGAGCTGCACCTCTGCACAGGGATACACCTCCCCTTCACCAGCCATGGTTAATGATGAGCACAGCGGGTTTGGGAGGATCCAGGAAGAAGCACCCTCCCTTTTACAAGTGCAGGGTCAAGGAGGCATTTCCCCTGCTCTCATCTCATCTGGGCAGCACAGTGCAGAGGCCAGGCAATTGGAGAACAGCCGGATGCCCACAGCCCCATTCCACTGACCTGGGTTTCTGGGGGGAGTCTTTGGGCTCCTTGGAACCAAACCAGCCGCCAGCCTTGCTCCTGTCATCTCCCACTGCTGCAGAGCCATGCGAGGCTCCTGTTTTCTCCCCCTGGCCCCTGCTCCCCGCATCACTCTTGTGGAAGAGCCCGCCCTTTGTTTTCTTCTCTTCCTTCCTCATTTCCTCGGGTTGCTTCTCCTTTGTCACCTCTGCAGAGAAGACCATGGGTGTTGCCACCTGGGTCGGCTTGTTCTCCAGGCGGTTGTTTTCTTCCATCCTGGCTCTGCCCAGGTGGTTGCTGAGGGTCACAGCTTTGGTGGACACCTTGAGTTCTTCCTGCAAAACCAAGCTGGGAGGAGAGGGGATGAATCTCATCTCGTCCCTTTGCTGTGTCCTCTCCAAGCTGCTGGCCCCCCAGGGCACCTCGTGGGGGTCGTTGTGGATTGGGATGAAGCCAAAACCCTCCTCTGGCCTTTTGGGAACAGGCAGCGGTGTGGAGCCCTGCGGGGTGGGCACGGGGCTCCTTGGGGTTGGCTCATCACTGTACACATGGCTCCCATTGATGCAGAGAGAAGAGCGGGACACGGGATCTGTCTTTAGCTTCAGGCTGTGGATTGCTTTCGGCTCCAGGATAGGGCTGACCTGGGAGACGTCATCACTGAATGCTCTCTTGTGGGTCAGCTTTGGAGAAGGTAAAAAGTCCTTCACTGCAGGGAGAAAGCACAAGGCTGGGTGAGGCCAACTGTGTAACGGGCACAGCAAGCTTAATCTACTAAAAAACACTGATGAGAGCTGCAGAATTACACCAGCTTTTCCCCTCCCAGGCTCTACTCAGCTATAATTAAATTAATAGGGAGATAAAGCACAGGTCATAAAGCACGTGACTCTACAAGCCGTACATCTCCCCAAGCACATCACCTCCCTCCACAGGATCACGAGAGTGGTCTTTGTAAGGTGAGAAACCACTGTCAGAGAGGCTCTGAGGGCTATAATGAATGCAGGGATCTGGCCAAAAGAATCCGAAAATCACAGACAGGCCCTTGGGCTGCTGTGTGTGGTGCAGTAAGGAAGGTCCGTGCCCATTCTTCCCTCTTCTCGCTCCTGCTGAGGGTTCAGCAGATCCCAGTGCTCAGTACCCTGGGACTCCCACCCCATCTGGGAATTGGCAGTCTTCAGCCAATTAAACCATGTAATATAGATTTTGTTTTCAAGGGACGGCGAGAATTAATTCCCGACAAGAGCCTTTTTTGTTTGCAAATCATCGCTCTGCCAGCGCCAAGAGCTGGGATTGCTTTAATCACCGGCAAGCGGTCACTGCTTCAGCTCTGCCCCCTGCTCCAGGTCTGCCCCCAAGCTGGAGGCGGCTCATTAGGCACAAGGAGCTGCTCTTTGCCACCTGCTTTTCTGGAGCAGAGGAGAAACAGCCCCGAGTTACCCCTACACCCCACGGTGGTGCAAAGCAGCCAAACAGGGCTGTCTGCACGCAGCCTTGGTATTCAAAGCCAAATCTTGGATGTTTTCTCCCTGTTCTTGGCAGGCAGGCAGATCTCAGAGGGTTCACACAGGACACTGCCTCTTAGGTAAGCAGTCAGTTAAGAGATTTGCAAGAAAGCCCCCACAAACGGGTTGGATTAACACCACCATCCTCTTACCGGAGCGCTCCGTGGACAGACTGCTGTGTCTGCTGGGAGACCTGGTTACCTCGGGGCCGCTGGTGGCCATGCCCAGGCTGGCTGATGAGATGGTGCTGTCGGATCCCAGAGAGGTGTTGGACTGCGTTAGGGATGACTTGCGCAGCTTGTTCTTCAGGAAGAAGCCCTTCACTTTGGACTTCTTGCCACCGACGTCGTAATCATCCTCCATGTCGAGCGCACCCATGCTGCTGGGGATGATGGCAGAGGCTGACTCCAAGTCGTACTTCTTCTTGCCCTTCATCTTGTCCTTCAGCTTGCCAAAGGGTGACCGTGGTTTGTCCTTCATGGACAGGTCGAACATGCTGGCTGTGAGGTTGTTGCGTGTGAATTGGATGCTCACCTGGATCTCACCACGTTCTTTCTCCTTCTTGCCGGGCTTGGAATGCAGCTTGTGCCACCTGAAGACAGAGAAAAGATGAGGGGAGAGCTCTCCATCAGTGCTTTGTGATGGGTTTTGCAATATTTAAGAGCTGGTGAGTCAAAATCCATCCTCTCATGTTGGAGTCTGCACTGTCATAGCAAAGGAGCTCAGTGGTTGGATATTAGGAAATATTTTATTTCAGGTTAATTGGAAACAATTTCTTCTCAGGTATTGGAACAGACTGCTCAGGGAGGTGGAGGAGTCAGCATCCCTGGAGGTGTGGATAAGTGGCACTCAGGGACACAGTTGGTGGGCATGGTGGGGATGGACTGATGATTGGACTTGATGAAATTAGAGGTCATTTCCAACCCTAATGAATCTATGATATTCATTAGAACAACTATTCCAGTGATCAGTGATGGCAGAGGATTGTAGAATCATACAACGGTTGGGTTGGAAGGGACCCCAAACCCCACAGCCCCACTCCTGCCATGGACTGGGTGCCCCCACCAGATGAGGCTGCCCATGGTCCCATCCATGGCCTTGGGCACCTCCAGGGATCCACAGCTCAAAGGACACCCGGGCACAGAGCTGTGCTGTGGGATGGCAGAGGGCTGTTGCCCGTTGCTAGCTGAAACAAATGGTGCAAACGAAAGCAAGAAACACCCGGAGGAACTCATTTCTACATTCCACTTCCCTAATTCTCCACAGCACCAGGATCAGACGGGGCAGCACAACGCTGGGCCAGAAGGGAAGCATTTCTTCCTGAAATAACCGCCTCGCACCGCAGACCCGGCACCCTTCCCCTCCCAGGGCAGGATGAGCTCCTTGGGGCCCCAGATAACAGCACTGTGAATTATCAGCAGGCTGCAAAACAACATGAAGACCTGCTTCCAAGATTTCCTCCCAGAACGTCTGAGCAGAGCAGGGTGAGACAGCTCCAATGGCCCCAACACCCAGCCTGGGGATTTGCAACAACAACAGGAGCAGGAAGGCGTTTTTAGAGGTGTTCTAATAATTTCCAACTGATTTCCCAACAACTAAAAATCCCCACCGTGTTTTAGGCTGTTAAAAGAGTTTGCTTAGAAGAGCAAAGTCACCAGAAAGGAAAAAACAAGGGGAGGAAAATGTGAAGTGTTGGAGATGGGTGTGACCCTGCTGAAATCATAGGGACGAGGAGGAAATCCAAACCACGTCCTCAATTCCCCATTCAGGAGCTACTGAGGAGCGCCCATGACTTTGCTGGGCAAGCCTTTGCTAGGCTTTAATCCCCAGTGAGCCTCTCCCCATAGCCCATACTGTCCACCCCCATAAATGGGGAACAATTCTCAGTACCCAAGCATTAGGCTGGAAAATCAGAGAATGGTTTGGGTTGGAAGAGACATCAAAGATTACCTGGTTCCAGGAATGCAGGAAGATAAGGAAAAAGCAGATTTGTGGCTGACTCTTGGAATGGGAGAAAACCTCACGAGCAGGTTTTGTATCTGACACCATCACCCCATGGGGAAAATAGAGAGGGAGAACTTGGGATGAATTAACATAGGGAAAGGCATCTGAGAATGATGAGATGTAAAACCCCATCTCACATGGACACGCTCGCAGCATCCCCCACTTACCACACTGCAGTCATTACAATTAATTTGGCTGCTCAGTAATGATGCCTTCAAATCAACAAGCCCTAAACCTGCTCTGCTTCTAAAAATGTCCATTCCAGAACAACCTCTGCCCAGACTGGCAACGGATGAAGGAGCTGTGTGGGGTTCCCAGCACCCAACAGGTCAGGACTGCACCCCAAAAAGGGAGATGTGCTATTTTTAGGCAGGGCTCAAAGTTCATAAGATGAGTGTTTGGGTGGATCAAGTCTCTCCATGTCTCATGGCTGCTGTTTTTTTTTTTTTAAATTTAAATCAATTCCAGTGGAGGTACAAACGCACCCATTGCAGGATCGGGATGGGTTTAAAGAACACAAGCTGCTGATGGGCTTGTTTGCTCTTATGCCCACCCCAAGAGGGATTTCACAGAATCATTATGGTTGGAAAAGACCTCCAAGATTTGGAGAGGGGAGGAGGAGTTGTGGGTGCTCCATCCCTGGAGGGGCTCAAGGCCAGGATGGATGGGCTTTGGGCACCTGGTCCATGGCAGGAGTCCCTGCCCACTGGGTTGGAACTGGGTGGGCCTTAAGGTCCCCCACCCAACCCATGATGTGATTCTACACTGAGGGAGCTGGGATGGCTCAGTCTGGGGAAGAGGAGGCTTAGAGGGGACCTTGGAGCTCCCTAGAAGGAGGTGATGGCTTCATGCTTGCACAAGGGGAGGGCCAGGTTGGGTATCAGGAAACATTTATTGTCCAAAAGAGCAGTGAGACACTGGCACAGCTGCCCAGGAGTGCTGAGGTCACCATCCCTGGAAGTGCTCCAGAACTGTGGGGATGTGGCACTGAGGGTCACTGGGCACGGTGGGATGGGTTGGGGATCTCACAGGTCTTCTCCAACCTTAATGATTGTACGCAAAATTAAAACGGCCACCCCAGTGGCTATGGGGACACCCAGCCCCATGGCATGCATGGGAGGAGGCAGCAGCCTGCCCAGCACAAGGCTGAGAGAGGAAATCACAAACAGAACTCCATGCAGATACCCCACAAAGGGGAAACAGTTGGGGCCCCGCTGGGCTCTCAGGAAGCCAAACAAACCCCAAACGCCCATCAGCATCGCCTGTGCGCTCACATGGGTCACCACTTCCCATCCAGCACGGCTAAAACCCCTTCCTTGTGCAAAGGCTCTGCTCCCCTCCCACTCACCTCCACCAAGAGACAAGGAGAGCTGCCAAAAGGCAGCAGGAGCACAGTGCTATTTTCTGCTGCTGCTGCTGAGATCGATGGGAGCGCAAAGCGCTGCCGTGGCTCGAGGCCCCCGCAGGGCACGCGTTTCCCCCCCATCTGCTGGCAGAAAGTGCTGAGCAAAGGGAAAAAACACCCTAGGGTGGAAATGGGAGCGGAGGAGACAATGGCACATGGAGCCGTCCCTTAATGCAAAGGCAAAGCTGATTGTGGAGAAGAAATCCCATAGAGCCCCACATCTCCTGTCCCTTCTGCATCCCCATCCCGCTCCTGTGATTCCATCAGCACCAAACCACGCGCTGAGCCGAAGCGCCCAACCCATCGCCATCCCCCTGGGTACCTGCAGCAATGCCTTCCCAGTTTCTCTTCTAGACTGGACCCAGTGCTTTGCTAGCAGCAGGCTGCACAGAGCTTCCTGGGGTGCCGGAGCCACTCAGTAAGGCACACCTTTAGGGATGCACCTGGGGTTCACCTGGAATGAAGTAGGAGCGTTCCTGCCTGAGCTGCAGCTCGGAGCAAGGGACAGACAAAGCCTCTCTGCCTCTCATTTACTGCTGAATCACTCTGCAACAAGCTCAGCCTTGCTAATGAGAGGTCTTTAATTAGTGACAACTTCAACAGAGAGCCAGGGACAGGCAGGTGAGGAAGAGGAAACTCAGGGAAACCCCAAACGTCTGCAGAAAAAAAACACCATTGGGGCCACAAGGGGAACGGCATGGAGGAAGCTCCATATCAAGAAGAGAAGCAAAGGGTGGAAAACAGCACAGCCCCTGGGCTCGCAGTCCGACCTTATGTTTTGATGCAGCTTCCCCCACTGGTGCCGGGAAGCTTTTCTGCTGCGTCGGTTCCTTTGGTGTTGGTTTTGGACAGGCTGCTCTGCACGGCGATCCCTGTGAGCTGCTCAAAGCACAGCTTGAAAATAAACATGGGCTGAAGGAAGGAAAGGAACTCAGGAGACTGAATTCAGCCCAACAAACGGTCCTCTAAGTGGCCTCAAAGCTGCCCCTGAGTCAGTGGGCTGAGGGTGCAGGGCGGCACGGAGGGGAAAAAGGCAGGAGCAAGGCAGGTTCAAGGGCTGGAGAAGAGCTATCAGCAGCACTGGCATGAGGACAACCACGGGCAACTTCACTGCAAATCAACTTAAAGAGATGAAAGCTTTTTCCCTTTCCCCCATCAAAATCACAGAATCATTGAGGTTGGTGAAGACCTCTAAGATCTCCAACCCCAACCACCAACCCCTCACCACATCCCTCAGTGCCACACTGACCCTAGGAAGGGGATGGGTAGGGAGATTCAAGGAGCTGTAAAATGGAGCATGAAACATTTATGAATGAAGAGGAGAGAATAACAGCAGCAGACAGCAGAACCCTCGTTAACTGCTTATGCTCCAGAGCTCCCACAGTTTGCAAATCCAAGCAGTAAATGAGCCAAAAAGCCACCGTGCCCACAATCACCCTATGCCCTGACCTGTTCTGCCAGCCTCAAATGCATAAAGAAAAGGAGAAAATGAGGCCCAGTTTGGTGGGATGCAAAGCATGGCTGATGGCACAGGGCTGCTCAGCAAGTTTCCCTGCTGCACTGGCTGAGCAGGAGGTGGAAATGGGTGCAGAAAGGAGCACGATTTGCTGTAAACCTTCTACAAAAGGGAAGGGCTGGCAGGGAGAACCATGCAACTTGAGGCACCCCAGGCTCAGGAACTGAGGGAGCAGCCCAGGCTGGAATAAACTCCAACCCCACATCCCTGCTGCAAAGTCCTGATAGAGACAGCCAACCCTCATGGTTGCTTGCACGTATCTGTAGGCTCCAACAAGACATGGGGAGCAACAAGAGACACCAGCAAGGGTTTTAAAGGTGCTTTCACTCAGCAGAAATGTGCAGGAAAGGATTTGAGGACTTTTCAGACTCCTCTTGCCAAGAAAACCCCATGCAACAGTGGTACACAGACCACAACCCACGCCAGCAGAGCACTCAGTGATGGTGACAAAGATGGTTTATGGTGTTTTCGGGGCCTCCTATGGGTTTTTCCTGTAGCTGCAAGGGGAAAACCACTACTGGAGGTAGGGAGAGCTCTACAGATGAGTGCAAAGTGGAGGAAGGAGACTGTGCCTGCAGTCCTTTGGCTGTCAGGGGACAGAGGGACCTTGGGAGGGCCACCAAGAGTCCAGAGCCAACGTGCCAGTCTTCACCCAGGTTGGGGGTTCAAATAGCATAAATATCTTCAAACAAACAAACAAGCTGAGCTTGGAGAGAGATTGATCCCCAGTGCACGCAGCTCTAAAATGCTATGTGGTCAACAGGGCTGGGTGTGGGAACGGAGGTGGGCAAAGGACATCCAGCCCAGAGCAGAACAGGGCAATGAAGCTCCTAAATTTGTCAGGGAGATGGCAGGATCATCATGCCTGGAGGTGTTGCAGAACCGTGGGGATGTGGCACTGAGGGATGTGGTCAGTGGGCATGGTGGGATGGGTTGGGGTTGGACTTGGAGATCTTAGAGGTCTTCTCCAACCTTCACGGTTCCCTGACTCTAGATCCAATCAGAGCGAGAAGGGGCAGCCTGGGAAGCACTCTAACCCAAGCAGTAGGGCACAAACCCCCTCCTTCCATCGCCCTGAGGTATTTCAACACAGCACAGCACTTCCTGCATTGGCCAAGCGGCCATGAACCAAGGTGCAGCAATCCCTCAGAGAACCAAAACAAGGATTTCGTCACAGCCTGCCACATCTGAACAGATCCTATTACTCTCAGCCAACCCAAGACCCCACTTCCACATTTCTCACCTCCCAGACCCTCTTCAAGACCAGGACCTACAGCTGGGGAAGGACAGGCTGCGATGGAGCCTCAGTGTGGATTTGGGGACTGTCCCTCGCCCCCAGGTGGGGCTGCCATAAGGTCCCCATTTATTGAGCAGCACGCAGGACCATGGACAGAGGTGATGGACCCCATGGAGGTTCCTCCATCACCCCAAGGCCATCCCAAATTCAGAGCAAGGTCCAACCTGTATTGGCTCCAGAGGAAAGGTTTTGCAGCAAGGATGCGTGCCCCTTGGCTCAGGCTGCTTCCAATGGGGACGTTTCCACATGGGATGTCTGTACCAGGGATAAGGGCAGGCACAGAGAAAGGGCTGGATGGGATCTGTTTGTCCAAAACGCGGATACAAATGATAAAACCTAACTACTCCCCTCGGAGAGCATCCCAACCTGCAGGCACCCACCAGCCAAAAATCCACACCACCACAGCCAACGCAGGAAAAGCTCAACAGGGTTAAAGCCACGGCTTAAAAAATAAAAGCATTGCAAGTCACGGCTGCTGCCGCATTGCCAACCCAAAGCTTTCCAGCTTGGGATAAGCCCAAGGATACCAAAAAAGGCCAGGAGACACCCAAAAGGCCATGAGAGCCCTCTTAGGCAAAACCAAGAGCTGACTTTTCCCCTCCCAGCCAAACGTTGCCATTCAGCTGATAAATGCTGCCAGACACACCCGGCCTCACTCCGTGACATGGGGCCAAGTTGGACGACACATTTTCCACTGAGCTGAAAACACGAAGAAAAAGCACTGCTGACAAAGTTTCCACCCAACAAAAATCAGCAGTGAAACGAGAGCAAGGTCACCACGCTGACAACCAAGGCCTGCTTTGTTGCTTTTTCTATTTTTGTATTATTTTTTTTCCTCCTCTTTTCTGGGCTGCATTCAAGCCAGCAGCAACTTTGTGCCTCCAAGCAAGGGATGCAGACAGGGCCCTACAAGCAAAGGGGTGCACGAGAGACCACCCTTTAGCACCCAACCCAGAAGCATTGCAGTCCCAAAGCTGCAGCATTCCCAAGGAGCCCATTTTTGGGGATATCTGTCCAAATCCCAGCTGTGCCAAAGTGGGATACAGCCTGGGAGCTCCTCGCACCCCAAAACCCCACAGCCACTCTCCATGCACAGCCTGGCTGCAGGGAGCCACAGTGCTGCTCTGCATTAGGGCAGAACTGAAGATCTGGAGCTCGTTTTCCAGCCAGGGTTAATAGAAATCAAAGCAAAATTAATGCCAGGGAGAACAGCCAAGTGGCAGCCCCCAGGGCCGTCCCCTCAATTCCCATTTTGGGGCTGGGAGGAGTGGGTTGCAGATGGGAAAAAGTCAGGGGAAAGCACACAATCCACAAACCCATGGCATAACATTACGGGGGGACAGAGGGTCCCCGTGATGCCCTGTTCTCTGTGACACTCTTATCGGGGCACACAAGGACCCCACGATCCCCCATGCCCTGCAATACACTTCTGGGACCGTGCATGGACCCTATAACACCTCCACCTTTTGCAACCCCCCTCATGGGACACACATGGACTTCATGACACGCTTAGGAGGGCCCTCATGAACCCAGTCACACCCATCTCCTTTTTGGGGCACACAAGGACACTGTGATGTCCTATTCCTTGTGAGGCCCTTCCGGGACCATGCATGGACCCTGTGACCCCTCATCTCCCTTTCAGGAGCCCAAATGGACCCAGTGACACTCAATCTTTTGCAACTCCCTTCCTGAAGGCATGAAGAGACCTCACATGGACCCAGTGACATCCTATTCCCTATGACTGGGGCTCTATGGCCCCCGTGACACCCCATATCCTACAAATGCCTTTTTGGGGCACAATGAGACCCCATGGATCCCTACTCTTTACGACACCCTTATGGGGCCATACATAGACTCAATAACAACCCATCTCCTACAATTCCCCTCCTGGGGCATGAAGAGACCTCCCGACATCTTACTCCCTATGACAGCCTTACGAGGGCCTACACGAATCCCACAACACCTCATCTCCTTTTTTGGGGCACAAAAGGACCTCACGATGCCATATTCCCTGTGACACCCTTCAGGGACCACGCATGGACCCTGTGACACCCCACCTCCAACAAGTGCCCTTTTTTGGGCCCAGGTGGATCTCATGACAGCCCATCTCCTGCAGTCCCCTCTTCGGGGTCTGAAGAGACCCATGTTTTCTATGACACCTTCATGAGGGCCCACGTGGACCCCGTGACACCCCATATCCTTCCTGAGCCACATAAGGACTCCACAACGTCCCATTCTCTGTGATATGCAACGAATGGATCCCATGACACCCCATCTCATACAAACACCTTCCCAGGGCACAGAACCCTATAGAACATCATAGAACCACAGGATCCTAAATACCTCCAACCCCTTCTTACGGTCCACACAGACCCAACGACGCCCTATTCCCTATGACAGCCCTACAGACCCCACAACAGCCCATCTCCCGAGGCGCACGATAACTCCACGACCCCCTATTCCCCGCGACACCCTCACGCAGACCCCCCCTCCCCCAAATACCCCCTTGGGGACCCACGCGGAGCCCCTTTACGGCTCACAGAGCCCCTCCGCCCCACTCACCTCTCCTCGGCCGCCCTGCCCTGCAGCCCCGCAGCCCGCAGCGGTACCCGGGCCATGCCCAGGAAGCGATCCATGCCCACCAGGGCGCGGTGCATGACGGTGAGCAGCACCGCGGCCTCAACCCCGGGCTCGGTGGGCGGCAGCTCGAAGGCGCATTCCTCCTTCCATTCGGGGCAGCCGCCGCTTTTCTCCGCTACCGAAGTGCAGTACTTCTCTCGGCCCAGCTGGATGATGGTATACGCGTCGCTGCTGCCCGCTTTGCCCCCACCGCCGCCGCCGCCCTTACAGCGCAGCCCCCGGGCCCGGACCACCGTCACCTGCACGTGGGTGGGCAGCCAAGCCGGGGGGCCGTCGGCGGGCAGCGCAGCGGCGCGGAGCAGCGCCATGGCGGAGGAACGGAGAGAGGGCGGCCGGACCGGACCGGGCCGAGCCTCAAATCCGCACCGCACCGCACCGCTGCGCTGCCGCAGCCGGGCCGCAACCGCCCGCCGCCCGCCCCGCCCGGCGGCAGGCCACGCCCACGAAGCCACGCCCACGAAGCCTCCACGCTCCTTTCCGAAAGCCACGCCCCCTCCGAAAAAACCACGCCCCCTCCTCGCCGCGCCCTCGTCCTAAACGACCCCTTTATCAGCCACGCCTCCTTTGCTACAAAGCCACGCCCCCTCCTTAAACCACGCCCCCTCGCTGTCTAAACGACTCCGCCTAAACCACGCCCACCAACGTAAAGCCACGCCCCTTAACCGCAAAGCCACGCTCCCTAGCTATAAGCCACGCCCCCTCCGCTCCGCGCGCTGCCAGCTGCACTGCGCAGCGCCGTGAACGCAGCGGGCTTTGCAAGCAGCCAGACGTCCTGCACTGCGTTCTGTTGCACTGTGCTGCACGTGCACCCGCGCTGTGAATGCAGTGTGGTGTACACGGGGCTGTGCGTGCATCATGCACGAGGCTTTGCACCGTGCTGCGGGCACGCCGTGCTGTGCATGCGCCTGCTTGTGAAGGGTGCTAGACGTGCACCAGGCTGCTCTGCAGTGTGCTGTGCATGCACTGTGCTGTGCACGGAACAGTGCATGCACCTGTTTGTGCACCATGCTGTGCTGCATCAGGTTGTGCAATATGCACCTGTTTGTGGACCAAGCTGTGCATGCACCATGCTGTCCTGTACCGTGCTGTGCATGCACCATGCTGCAAAGGTCCCAGCTGCATGGGGTTTGCAGTGCAGAGCACTGTGGGATGAGAAGGGACACAGCAGTGCTCCCACTGCAACCCAATGGGCACCACACTGCAGTCAGCATGTAGGCAAAGCACCTGGGGGTGCTGGGGCTGTGCTGCAGGGTGTGTGTGCACATTGATGTGTGTGCATGTATGTGCATGCATGTGGCTGTGTCCATGTGCACGTGTGCCCGTGCATGCCATGTGTGTGCACGTATGTGCACGTGTCTCTGCACAGCTTCCCTTTGCTTTAAACGCATTTCCCACGCAGCAGCCGAGGCAGTGGCAGCCCAACACACCTGGACCGGCTCCTAATAAGCAATTAAAAACCTCCCCAGCGTCTCTAATAAGTTCCCCGGCCCCCGCAGCAAGGTCACAGCCAAACGCTGCTCCTCGGGGCCCTTTGGGCGCTGTCACACGGCGATCACAGCGTGGTGATGCCATTTGAGATAAGGGCAGGGCCACGGGTCAGCGCAGCGGGGCTGCAGTGCTGCTCTATCGGCACCATCGGCGTTCTGCTCCGCTGCGGGGACACGGCGGGGACACAGCAGGAGGGGGGTGGGAACCCATAAGGGGATGCAATGGGGACAACATGTGGATACGGTGGGGACGTGGCGGGGATGTGATGGGGATGGGGTGAGGATGTGGTGGGGACACGATGGGGTCACAGTTGGGATGTGATGGGGATTTGGTGGGGATGTGGTGGGGACACAGGGACAGAACAGTGGGAACATGATGGGGATACAATGGGGACATAATTGGGATGTGATAGGGATATGGTAGGGATGTGGTGGGGACACAGGGAGAAAACAGTGGGGACACAATGGGGTCACAATTGGGATGTGATGGGGATGTGGTGGGGATGTGGTGGGGACACAAGGAGAAAACAGTGAGGACACAATTGGGACACAATGGGAACACAATAAGGACACGATGGGGACACAATTGGGATGTGATGGGGACGTGGTGGGGATGTGGTGGGGACACAGGGACAAACCAGTGGGGACATGATGGGGACACCATAGGGACACAATTGGGATGTGACGGGGATGTGGTGGGGACAATAGGGACACGATGGGGACATAATTGGGATGTGATGAGGATATGGTGGGGATGTGGTGTGGACACAGGGGGAAAACAGTGGGGACATAATGGGGACACAATTGGGACACAATGGAGACACAATTGGGATGTGATGGGGATGTGGTGGGGATGTGGTGGGGACACAGGGACAAAACAGTGGGGACACGATGGGGACACAATTGGGATGTGATGGGGACACTGTGGGGACACAGAGAAAACAGTGGGGACACGATGGGGACACAACTGGGATGTGATGGGGATGTGGTGGGGACGTGGTGGGGACACGGAGAAAACACTGGGGACACTATGGGGACATGATGGGAACACAATAGGGATATGATGGGGACACAATTGGGATGTGACGGGGACATGATGGGGACACAGTTGGGACACAATTGGGATATGATGGGGACATGGTGGGAATGTGGGGGGAACACAGAGAGAAAACAGTGGGGACACAATGGGGATACAAATGGGATGTGATGGGGGAATGGTGGGGACACGGAGAAAACAGTGGGGACACGATGGGGACACAATGGGGACACAATTGGGATGTGATGGGGATGTAGTGGGGATGTGGTGGGGATACAGGGAGAAAACAGTGGGGACACAATGGGGACACGATGTGAACACAATTGGGGACACAATGGGGACACAATTGGGATGTGATGGGGACGTGGTGAGGACACAGGGAGAAAACATTGGGGACACTATGGGGACATGATGGGAACATGATGGGGACACAATGGGGACATGGTAGGGACACAATAGGGTCACAATGGGGACACAACTGGGATGTGGTGGGGATGTGGTGGGAACACTGGGGGAAAACAGTGGGGACACGATGGGGATATGGTAGGGACACAATGGGAATATGATGGGGACACAGTGGGGATACAGGAGTGATACGGTGGGCACAAGGTGGGGATGCAGTAAAGACACAATGGGGACTTAGTGGAGTCATGGTGAGGATGCAGTGGGAGCCCAATGAGAACGCTGTGGGGACGTGGTAGGGAAATGGCAAGGACGTGATGGGGACATGGTGGGGATGCAGTGGGAGAGCAATGGGAACATAGTGAGGATACAATGGGGACATGATGGGAACACAGAGGGGATACAGTAGCGATATGGTGAAGACATGATGAGGACACAACTGGGGCAAAATGGGGACATGGTGGAAAAACAATGGGGACATGATGGGGACGCAATAGAGACATGGTATGGACACAGTGGGAACATGATGGGAAAACAGTGGAGACGTGGTTGGGATGCAATAGGGACATGATGGGGATGTGATGGGGACACAGTGGGAAAACAATGGGGACATGGTGGGGACACAACAGGAACGTGATGGAAATACTGTGGGGACATGGTAGAGACATGGCAGGGAACAGTGGGGACATGGTGGGGACACAATAGGGACGCAATGGGGACATGATGAGGACATGATGGGAACACTATGGGGACATGGTGGAGACATGGCAGGGAACAGTGGGGACATGATGGGAATACAGTGTGGACACAATGGGGACATGATGAGGACATGATGCCAAAATAATGGGGACACAATGGGGACACGGTGGGGACACTATAGGGACATGATGGGAAAACAATGGAAATGCAGTGGGGACATGGTGGGGACACAATAGGGACATGATGGGGACATGATAGGAACATAGGAGTGACACAGTGGGGACACGGTGGGGACACAATAAAGAAATAATGTTAAAAAGGTGGGAACATGGTGAGGACACAATGGGGACATGATGGGAACACAGTGTGGGATATGGTAGTGACATGGTGGGGCCATGGTGAGAACACAATAAGAACACTGTGGAGACATGGTGGGGACATGGAAGGGACGTGATGGGGACACAGTGGAGATGTGATGGGGACACGATGGGGAGACAATGGGGACACAATGAAGATGTGATGGGGATACAGTGTAGACACAGTGGGGACACAGTGGGGACATGATGGGGATACAATGGAGACGTGATGGGGACACAGTGGGGATATGATGGGGACACAGTGGGGACACAGTGGGGATGTGATTGGGACACAATAAGGACACAATGGAGACATGATGGGGACACAGTGGGGACATGGTAGGGGCACAGTATGGACACAGTGGGGACACAAGTTGGGACGTGATAGGAACATAATAAGGACAAAATGGAGACATGATGGGGACAGAGTGGGGACATGGTAGGGACATGATGAGGACACAGTGGGGACACAGTGGGAGCACGGTGGGAACACACTGGGGACACAATGGGGACACAGCAGGTACACAGGGCTGCGAACCCTTTGCACCTATTCCAGCTTCTGGCCTTATTCAAATCCCCAATAAATATGCATCCAACGGGGAAACAAACAACATCAGCACATGGGGAATTTCTTATCGCGGTGGCGATGCAATGAATGCAATTATAGCTCCGAGTCGGTGCTGCCCTGTGCTGCTCTGCTGCTTATCCCTGCACAGCATCTGCCTCTCCGCTCCCCAACTCTGATTGCTTTCCCCTCCTTTTCCCTCTGATTATCTTTCCCTTCGCTCTGTCCCCACCTCTGGCATTGCCCGTTTCCTTCCGCTTTTGCATTTTAGGTGGTTTAGGTTTTTAATTACCCCTGGATTCGTTATTGTTACGGCGTCCCATTGGGTTGGGAAAGTCGTTAGAGGAACGGGGTGCTGGGTGCCACCCATGGTGGTGTCATTCATCCCATGGGGACACCGACGTGCCTGGGGTGGGGGGACCATCCATCATCACAAGGCAAAGCAATGGCATTTACGTAGGGGCAAAGCAATTGCACTCACGAGGGTGCAGAGAAATTGCACTTAGGGCAAAGAAATCACACATAGGTGAGGCAAAGGAATTGCATTTATATAGAGGACAAGAAATTGCACTGATATGGCACAATGCAATTGCAGTTCTATGGGGCAGAGCGATTGCATTTGCATGGGGTAAAGTTCTGGGGGGAGAGGGGGCAGCTGCAATGTGCCCCCACCTTGGGGCTCTGCAAAAGCTTTTCCCTTTTGCAAAACCCATCTGCAGAGCGGCTGCTGCCCCCCGGGGGGTTGGTGAGGAAGGGGAGGTTGGAGCTAAGACAAATAAAGAGTTCAAATGTGAAACGATTAAAAATAAAATACAATAAAATAAATGGAAAGCGGGGGAGATAAGGCGCGGGCGCCCTCGCCGCCTATTTAACATTCATT